CCCCTTTCTCAGGGTTCTTGTGGAATTGCTTTTGCAGGAGGAAGGGTGTTCAGGAGATGAACAATGATGAAGAGATTGATAGCCCGAGTTGGGGTGCGTCATTTTTCATGCAAACAACTGAAGATGTAGCTCGAGCTGTAGCAGCTGCAGCAGCTGCTGTTCGTTCACCTCGACCTTCTGTGGTGTACTCATCTAAAGACGAAAGTGGCAGCCAGCTTCATAAACTTCAGCACCACGTGTCGAGGCTATTGAAGGGCCTATCCAGTCCTTCTGAAATAAAAAGCAGTTCTTACAACCCAGAAATACTTACTAGTCAAAAACGTCAGTGGGCAAACTTCCAACTACAGCTACTGGTAGGCTCTCTTCTCATTAGATTATTATTTCATCTATTTGTTAGTATTCCTTTTTGTCAGGTAAAAAGAATTATTCATATCAGCTACTTCCACTTCGCTGGATTTCTTTTTATATATGAGCAGGATTTCTTAATTGGAAATTTGCATTGGTGCTATCATGTATATAAAAGTTTGCTCCTTGAGGTTTTCGTGTATCATTGTGTTGCTAAAGTTTGCAGGATCACAGAGTATGGAATGAGCCGTCAAAACTGTTCGAGAGCATGGTTGTTGTGGGACTTCCTCCTACTTCTGATGTTCAATCACTTCAAAATCTGTACTTCGCCCGAAAGTTTGAAGGTTCGGGAAGATTTCGAAATGCACTGGGTGGTCAGCATCAGTCTCGTATAGAACCTAACCTTGAACCTCAGGTGTTCATTTTTTCTCTTTTCATTTTTCGCATTTGAATAACTGATAGCTATATTGTATTAATGATCTTCCTTTCTGCATTTCAGGTTTTGTTTGTGTATCCTCCAGAAAAACAGCTACCTCTTAAATATAAGGATCTACTTTCTTTCTGCTTTCCTGCAGGAATAGAGGTGGGTAAATTTGGTAGAAGTGAAATTGTCATATTTGCTCAGCATGATTTGTCCTGGGTCATTTTAACTCACAAAATCTTTTATTTACCTTCTTCCAGAATGTTTTATAAGGCAGGATTTAGTTAGATGTTTGCACCTGTAGGGGAAAATGATACCTGTGTGGTGAATGGTTATATTCGAGTGTAGACGTTCGCATTTTTAATTTTATCTTTTTAAATAATTGAGTAACACCTGAAATGCTAACAAAAGCATTGCTGCTTCTTTTTGTTCTATGAAATTATTTGAATGTGTGTTCTTGAGTAAAATTGATCATTTGTAGTGTTTAATTGTTATTTTTAGATAGTTGATTTATTAGCCTGAAGCTGTGTTGCTAACAGTATGCTTTGTTCTGTATAATGCATCCTTCTTAACTTGGTACGTGATAACTGTTTGTGGGTCATTTCTCCATAGTTCCTGAAAATTGCAGTTGATACTCAGATTTCTAACAAGTCTAAATAGAAAGAAACAATGAAACTATACCTGGTCCAACTGTACTGCTCTAGAGGTTGTTTGGTATCTACTATCTAGAAATATATGTCTACCTTTTTTCTCTTGATACAAGTTCCTAATCTCAGCTCTTGATTGTTAGGTGAATGCTGTTGAGAAAACTCCATCGATGAGTGAGTTGAACGAGATACTCCTTGGGCAGGTATGGATTGACTGCTTTGTGCTTGCATTTTGGTGGGTTAGCTCGTGAGGAAGTCAAGAAAAAATATTTGGAATCTTATTTAGTTGCTCTTTTAGTAGAATTTAATTTACATAAGATGTCCGACAGGCAATTTTCTTCATGTCCATTATTTTTTATATTTTCATTTGTGATTCTGTGC